TGTATCCAACATTTGGCCTTTATGCAAACAAAGGCTTTAGACTACATAACTGAGTGTTTGAGTAAAGCTGGCCATACACTGTGGAAATTCAGTGTATCATTTATTCTGAATCCGATTGTTGTATTAGCAATTTAACCTTTACTCAGATCTCTATGCCTGGCCTGTATAAGCAGATATAATCACTGTGGACAATCCTTATCAGATAGCTAAACTCACCAAATAACTTTTCATCCACGAAGGTGATTTATTTGAATGCAGCACGGTTGCAGCAGACAACAGGATACAGCAGATGAATGAATAGACAGTATTTGAAGGTCGGAGATAGTAATGATCGAAGCATGCAATGCAGATAAAAAAATGTCATGTTACTGTCAGCCATGACACTAGAAAACGACTGGTCTCATAAAGAAAGCGGAAATACATCATAGATGGGAGGGAACACAGAAAAACATGCACAACTGCATGTTAGGATAAATAGCACAGGGGAAATTTTCCCATCCACATTGTTTAGTGTGAATGGGGAAAGCTGTTATATTGTTAAAATAACAGTGTATAGCCAGCTTTACAGGGAGCGTCATTGTAAGGATGGCCTTAAGGTAAGGCATCTCTGTACTAAAATAGAAAATTGGGAGAGTTGCCCCATCATACAGCGCTCCTCGAGGGGATGGGGGGCAGGGAAAATGATAATCCTGCAAAATTGGTAGGAGTGAGTCCAATGTAATGTAGAATCCTCAGAGGGGGGAAGGACCAAGTTTAAGGTGTCCTAAGCTGGTGTGCGGCTTCTGTTATGCCCGGACCGGGGTATCCGACGTGTGCTGAAAAACAAAAGTAGAGACCGTAGCGCCACGACCTAGCGCAATGACTGAGGTGGTATATGGTGGGGGGGTGTGAGGTATTGAACTCACTTGTGAATTGGTGAGCACTCGCTTTGACTCTGTACTAAAAACTGCCTCTAAAGATCAGTTTGTGGTATGCCACGTTCAGTTGTGTTAGTACAAATACAGTACATGTACCCTGCATTTGTGCCTTTCAGGTTGTAGTAAAATGACCCTAGCCTGGGCACGATTGAGTGTGAACCTGTAAAACTAAAATAATTATAGAGGACTGAGATCTAGACAAATTCCGATTCATGTAATATTTGCTTTCAACAATGCAATAAATGTATTTTAAATGAATACATAAATGCTCTAACCTGTATTCCTGTATTTTTTTCTGCCTAGATTTCAGCTTTTCAAGCATATGACACATAAACACTTGGGCTGGGTTCACACCTGGGTGTTTTTCAGCGGTGATCGAAGCGCTGAAAAACGCTCAGCAAATGAAATTCCATAATTTTCTATGGGCATGGTTCCCATCTGGGCGTATTTCAGCGCGTGGAAACGCAGGGAAGTTTGAAAGTTTTTAAAAAAACACGAAAAAAAGATAGAGAAAATAAAGGAAACATTTTTCAAAAAATCATACCACCAGAGAGGTATAAAAATGAGCGTCAAACGCGTGTTTCACTGAACTAAAAAACGAGCTGAAAAAACACGCCTATAGTAACACCCAGGTGTGAACCCAGCCTCATACAGTAATACAGTTAAGGATGTTTATGGCTACCATAATTTTGCAAGACTATAAATGTAGCCTAAATAATTAAGGTGCAAGTTCTTTCCAGATGGTGGAAACTTTTAG